TATATATATATATATAGTCCCCTTCAGGGGACTACACACACACAGTATCTCAGTGACATGGGAATAAGAACGAGAGACGTGATTGGAACAGAGCGGACTCACAGTTGTTTGTTACTGTGAATCGTGAGTATCTCTTAAACTGGCCGTAGCAAATAGTTTATCGATCCATCTGACCACGGACTTTAGCATAGTCCATGTGGTGACTTCCTACGGAGCATGATGCATTGACTGCCGAAATATCGATCATCAGGAACATAGATTACAAGTGTCCAAACTATCGTCCTAGGAAGACGAGTTGTCTCTTGGAAGGAAGGACCATATCAACGTGGCCAGGTGACCAAGATCATCATCTGACTGGATTAATAATCATACATGAGGTTCCCTTCATGGAAAAGTTTACCCCGCACTCAAAAGATCACTTGGACTGAACCCTTATTCGAACTCAATTGATGCAGTTTATCAAGCAAAAGTAGATGTATGCTCACCTGGCGACAGACACGTGGGCTTATGATCATATCTGTGAGGAATTCAGCCACTCGTTTCACCTGCTTCTCACGTGCACTGCGTTCGGAGGTGGCTGCATCTGCGGCAACCTTGACCAGCTGAAAGACGTCTCCACCGGCTTGGTTTGAGCAAAGCGCTTGCCAAGCAAGATGAGGTATGTAGAATAGAATACATTGTAGGCCCAACACAAAAGGCACCCATTGGTAGTAGGCTAAAATGGAGATTGAAATATGAACAATATTCATAACGAGACAGCTGAAAAAAGCATCTTGTTTACCAAAAAGCTGAAATAAAAATATATACTTCTCTTGCACTCATCCGAAACCCCAGCAGGCCTTTGCAACTTGTGTGAGACGACAAAGCGATCAAGAAGGTGCGTTTCTTATGTTGCCGGTCTTGATTTGTTCGCGTAATTAATTGGATCGATAGGATAGATAGTGCCCTAGTTATGACGTAATTAAGTTGATTATCAGAAGGTAACAAGCACTAACAAATGTCTGTCTTACTAGAATGTGATGAATACAGCAGTTAGATGCACTTGATAAAAATAGATACAATGTGAAAAGTGGAATTAGCCAAAAAGTGACTTATAGTGACCTGTTGAGAGTTCCTGAGTGAAGTTCCGGACGCGGGACGTTTCTTCTCTGCAGTATAGCTGCTACGCGTGTTCCGTAGTTGCCCGTGGAGACTTGTGGAACTCTGTTGTTGATTTCCTGTACTGTGCGCGCCGGTGTGTGTGTTGAGCCTAGTTGTATGCCTATTTATTGTGTGCAGTGTGAAGAGATGGGTGTCCCTTCGTGTTTGATGATTGTACGAACATGAACACAACTTGACGTGATATGTTGAAGTTTGTAAGCCTGACGCGTTACGCAAGTGGTAGCCACGTGAACAAAAATGGACGGGAAGTTGTGGTGTACAAGTTGTTGGCTCAGGTTGCAAGTGGGACAGGAATTGTCACGTGGTTTGAGTGCTTGTGACGCCTGATCCGATGAGTGGCCTCTACAGAGCATTCTACTCCATCTCTAAAAATGTCTGGAATGCACTGCTCATAAGGTTGTTGAAAACCCCTCGACAGCCCACGACCGGTTTCGCCCTTATGAAACTCATCAAGTAGGCCCATACCCAAGATCCGTTCAACCTTATGTTCTGCGTAAACCAAAATTGCACAAAATTTGACAAATACGTTCATTTGCTTACCAATTTTGTTTGGGGTGCGTTTATGACGCACCTCAACTACTAACAATTCGGTAAATCCCCAATGAGGCGACTCATGGCTCTTTTTTGACAAGTACACGGCGCTGTTGTCATGCGTTTTGTTAGGAATAAGGCGCAGGAAACAAAAGGTGCACAGGACTGTGTTAAAAACGATAAGAGGGACAAGAATTCTCCCAACATTTGATAAGCCTCTACAGGGTGTGGATGAGGATGGGGGCAAGGAGAAGAATGACTTTCACTTGGATGGAGTGCATCCGTTTCAGCCGTCATTCGAATTCGCCAAGGCGCGTCATGGTAGAATGCCTGCGTTACAATACGAACTTTAAAAAGATGATGAAACAAACGGCGCTTCTGCTGTGTTTATGATAAGTACCAACGTTGATTGCTTGACATGGATCTGTCTGTCTCATGTGGCGATTCTCCGTCACCAGTGGATTCGCTCAGACATGTAAAGCAGGTGAATAATCCAAGGATGGTAAGCGAAGAAGTTACGAGCCAATTAAGTTTCATCCATAAGGCTTTATTCCAGCCGACCATACACTGATCATATCTCCTCAAATGGTGACGAAACCGTTGCAAGCCGTTGGCCAAGCTGAGGGAACAGATCACCTGGAACCTGATCAGTTACGGATGAGACAACCAGATGTCTACCACAGTGCGGTCGTGGCCTGCGGTTTGCACGTTAGAAGGCTAATTCGGTAGTCCCCAAGTGCACCGGAATGAAAACGGTCACTCGGATTTAGCGGATTCAGTTAATAGGAGGCCTAGGAATGGTAATTAATGAAGCCTGGGAAAGATCGATGCCATCAGTTTGATATGCCTGCATTCAAGAGGGTCTGAGAGGTTCTGTCCCCATGTCCTGGATCCAGGAAAGGAGGTCTGGTCTATAACCAAGACGTACTTAATGCGTTTGACGTCAATGCATATCGTAAGTTGATGAAAACCGGGCAACTTCACCTACCTGATGTACCTCAAGAAGGGCGTAACCGGTGGTAGACTGACGAGGAGTTTTCAGCAACCTTCTGAGTAGTATGTTACGTCCTGGAAACACGCCTCAATATCCAGAATATCATACCAGCTGAAACAAGAGATGGCCTTTGTGCAGCACACTGGGTTTAAGAACAAGAGTGATTCAGTTGAGTCTGCCGTCAACTCCGAGAAAGTTTGCCGACAGCAACTCCTGCAACGGTGGACACTACTGATGAGGCACATGAGTAGTGTCTTCTCGTAAATCCGCTTCGCGTCTCTTGAAAAGTTATATCTGTTAAGGAGCATTTGCTTGCATTTGAGTGACAGTCAATGAATATCCAAGAAAGTTCAGGAAGGCGCGTTCAATTAGAAGATGGATATTCAGTTTTGTAAACAAGATGCATATGAGAGTTTTGCTCCCCTGTCCAAGTCTGTAACTGTTCAGTTGGTGTTTTTCTAATAAACAACTCCTCAGCGAGGGCTTTCTTCTTTTCACTAGCAGTTCTTGGTCTTTTGGACCGTAACGTTGGCCAATAGGAAAAATCCATAAGGAGCACACTAAGACTACCACTCCAAATAGCTTCTCCCGTTGTGGGTAACGCAAAACTAAATAGGAGACATGGGAGAAATGTTATCCCCAGTCGGTGACTCATTAACAACTGGTGGAACCACGATTTCGGTTTCCTTTTGCTACATACACCTTCCAGAGCTGCAGGTAGATCCGCTTCGATTTTCATCACTTTTTGAACCATCCGCCAAGATTTTCTCCCAAAATTTTGAATTTTTCTTACAAAACTGTGCAGAGATTCGCTACGGCTTATTTTAGACTAACATGGTGAGGCAAATGAATGGAGATCGGATTGAGTCCTCGTGTAGCTGTGACGCATTTTAATGATGAACGAACAAAGATACCTCACGTGAGTATCTGCGTCAAACTGTGAGCCTTTCTCCTTGTTGAAATCTCTTGGGTGTCAAAGAAGGCTAGGACAATTATTGAGGACTCTCATTCTGAAAAGACCTTTCCAATGGCAACATTGATATGAAAGTTGGTTGGATTCGAACGTTCCAATCAGGAGGAAGAAACGCCAAATGCACCAGCTGATGGACATCATTCTTTTGGCGTTAATTGGTTTATTGATTATTGCAGCAGACTCTCGCTGGTCCGATTATTGATACCAGCGCACCCTCAATTCAGTTGGTTGGTCTGTCTTGGTCAACAGACTTGTTTAATCGTAGTGTGTAGAGTCAGGGAGGTCAAATCGCTCAAGTAGCCAAAAGCGACCAACACCTTCCAAGGCTGTTGTACCTTGATAAACGATCGTCCAACTCTGTATCGGTCCCTTGGCTTCCTGGTCCGCCCACTACAGTATATCAAGAAGCACGGTAGCTCCAGACAGCCCCTCATGGAGACAAAGGAAAACTATTACAACTGTATGTATAGGGTAGTCACAGAGTGTTCCATAAGGTCGTGCCAGAATCTCCGTGAGGGGGCGAGAAGTATCGAGTCAAAGGTACTTGACTCGGATTGGCTGGCATTCTGGCCAATCAGGGCATGCCTTCGTTTGGCCCATGTCCTGCACGTGACATCCGTCCAAATGATGTGGTGTTCGGTTATTAGGGACGGCTGGCCTTCATACATAGGCACTGAAAATAGGGCCAAGATATTCGAGGAAGACAAAGGAAAACTATTACTACTGTATTTATAGGGTAGTCACAGGGTGTTCCACAAGGTCGTGCCAGAATCTCCGTGAGGGGGCGAGAAGTATCGAGTCAAAGGTACTTGACTCGGATTGGCTGGCATTCTGGCCAATCAGGGCATGCCTTCGTTTGGCCCATGTCCTGCACGTGACATCCGTCCAAATGATGTGGTGTTCGGTTATTAGGGACGGCTGGCCTTCATACATAGGCACTGAAAATAGGGCCAAGATATTCGAGGAATCCATGGTCTAGGAAAGCCCGCTTCCTTGCGGAAACCTTGGAGGTGTATACTTAACCAAGAACGAAGTTGAAGAACCAAGAACATCAACCAGACAAAACCCGGACAGTCCAGATTCAACAACCCTGGTGAGTGTGCATTGTTTGCAGTAAACTTTTGGCTTTCTGGAAGAGTGTTCCAGTGGTACTGGGAAATCGGAAACTAGCAGAATATGCGCCTTCATTTATTCCTCATTTATCCTCATTTAAATTCCAGCTCAATCTCTCGTTTATGATGTCACATAAGTAAATGTGGTGAGAGCGCGAATTTTTTTACCGGAAGGTCCGTGGTTCGAACCCGACCTCCGCCTCTCGACTTTCCCTGTCTAGGCTTGGGCAACCGGGTGCTATCCCATAACTTGTGCTTTTGTCAGGTTGCATGGCTGTAAGGCACCGAAAGGGTGTTACAGCTGAACCACTTTTTTCATCTCTGTTCTTAAGGACTGACACACAACGCTGTCAATCTTTCCGCTCTTAAGCACCATGCGAACTCACAGTCCGCTGTCACAGACTCTCATCCTACCTTCAGCTCAGCGGCCTTCAGATAGGTCAACGTGCTGCAAGGATGCCACGAAATTCGTGCTCACATCGCTTCGTTTGGACTTCCTCTTCTTGCTGTGTTTTGTCCACACGTACTTCGGTAAGCATGTCACGTATTAAGTGAATATCACAGTACACTTTCATGAACAACATCAACGCCGCGCCCCGGTCGGTTGGTTACGTTCTCCGGAAACAAAATCTCACTGGTCAGCTTCTTCATGTGATACCTTTCAGTTTATTCCTCCCAAAATGGACACCCAAAGGATGGACAATGGGACTTCCTCTCGCTCAACCAGCTGGAAAGCCCGTCTGCCGTTCTCGTCAGATTCTGAGGAACAAAACTCAAAAGAAGACTTGGAACGGGCAGGGGAACCTNGCAATTCCCTTCCGAAATGAGACCCACTTTGGAAAAATTTCATTCAAGAAATCAGAAGTTGTTTATTCGTCAAAGACAGGCACAAAATGCCACACTGCCCGTTCAGAGTAGTCAAAGAACCTAACCGCGAAAATATATGAGATTCTACCATGTTCTACCGGTAGGAGAGCGCTGTGGTACACGTCTACAACAGTGTTCTGTCCTGATCTCCACACACAGTCTGTTTCTTTTCGTTAAAAATACATCGTTGTACGCAACTTGAACGTCGAACTTTGTGCACGTCTGGAGAATCCGTGCGCGTCTCCCAGTCATCCGAAACAGCAACACACGCTTGCAAGCCTCCATGCAAGCGAATTGGCGCCAGAACAGAGGCCCGGTTAACGTCCCATCGACCTCATGATAAGCCTCGGGTGGTGTAGATAGTATCACAAACTAAAAGCAGCCTTTGAAGCACCCGTTCCCCTCACCGAGGTAAGGTGCTCAAGAGAGAGCTCTTTTCCACCACTAATGCAGAAAGTGCATGTGCGTAATTTTAAGCCCCGCCCCACATTTTGCCAGCTCCAATTTAGTGTACGCACACAACCCTGACCTATTTTTGATGAAAACACAATTCCTTATCTGCATCTGGGCTCATTTTGTGCAAAAGTTCTCCCCATTCGGATGTAAAACCTTAAATGAACTTTCTGACACTTTCAACTCTCGTTCATGAAAAGGAGGCGGCAATACGTTTTTGTAAAGCCAAGGAGTGATCTGTCAGCAAATGACACTCAACTGTTTCTGACAGGTGGGTGTGTAATGCTCGACAGTGTCGGCAAGAAATCGGTCTTTGAAAGGGAACTTGGCTGGAGAGGTCTAGGATGGAGTTTAGGACAGTAATTCTATTCATTTATTGCTGGCAGACTCCACCGGTCAATTAAAACCAAAAACTTCGTGGATCCAATGACTGGAGCTCACACACAAACCATCGAATCTCTTTGGCACGTCTTTTCAAGATGCAGAATAAACGTCAATGCGGTACACACCAATCTTCAGTGGACAGCTACTTGTGTGAGTTCGTTTGGAGGCAAAGGTACCGAAGAACGGACCTTTTCATGCTAATTATTGATGACACGTCCCAATTTCACCCTCTTCAATGAAAACTAAAAGTACAAATTTCATATCCTCCTTTTTCTAATATTTCTTCGGTGGCGGGGGTTAATTTTTTGGCGGGGCTTATTTGGAAAACATCCCATGAGGATCCCATGTGTGAGCTCTTGCCGCATCAACTTGACCACTGTCAGCCGATAAAACCGCTCGTTCTTATCACACCACGGCTGGTTGGAGTAGCACACCTTTTTCGAAGGTCACTGCTAAACAGTGCCTACACCATTCTGTCAGCATTGCCGTTGAGTGTTTGTAATAGCAGATGTGTTCCAATGTGAAAACTTGGCTTTTCTCATGCTAGATAGATGTATTGCACCGATCGATTGGATATAGATTGATTTGAAATATCTTACTACCACGTAGAAAGACCTCTACGTGGTCCTCTAAGTCCCTGAGAATTCTCTAAACCGAAACAACTGTGAATGTCGTGACTTTTCTTACAAGTTGTTTTAAGGAATCTAACCTCATGGTAATTCTCCCATCCATCTGCTTACCTCGTCCATTCCTTTTGATCCACAACTGTTTTGCTTATCGCCGCAAGGACCATCCCGTCTGACATTTCCATATGAGCATGTGTCTCTGTGCAGCTGACCCACTTACCCATGCACTTTCGTGTCCCGCCTGTTCTGCCTACACTGAGTTCCCTGTAATCGCACCGCCGATGAGACTCACGAAACTGTCGTCGGTTTGGACGACCGCAATCCACGCTACCGAGCCATCGTTCCGCTCGCCGTTGTTTCGTGTGCGGACGTTGACACTGCACTGTGCCGGTCAGTGACAGACTTGTTCACTTGTCGACCCTACGAACGTGACCGATTGAGGATTTTTGTATAACCTGCTTACTGTTTTGTGAAAATAGTACCGTACCAGTACTCTCTGGTACGGAAATTTGTGTTCACTACATGCCGCGGGGTGTTCTTTGTTGCTAGGATCCACTGTGTTTCTCTATTGAACGGACTAGCCTCACTACCTGTTGTTCTTCACTTCCCGTACAGCCATCTTGTTGAATGTTGATACAAGTCCAACAGGATATGAACTTCGAGAAACACACTCATTTGCGAATCAATTTGGTTTTCCATCGTTTATGATATTCTACAACTGAATGTGCTGCACACAGACCGCCTCATGATTCAGTTCGCACGATATTCGAAATATCGCCGTATATTTTCATAAAGGAGACTACTCAGGAAACTACTCACAAGGTTGCTGAAAACTCTTAGCTCACGACCGGTTTCGCCCTTCTTGGGGCTCATCAGGTAGGCACAGTCCCCGAGTTTCCGTCAACCTTATGTTCTACTTGAACCCAAATTGGACTGTTTTCGAGAAATA